GAGCAAGCTGATTGGTCAAACCTTTGGTTTGTACTCTGAGGGAGTGAGTGACTTTCTCAAGGGCAATGCTGTCATGTGACAGAATCATGATTTGAATCCAGAGCCCTTTCTGTTTCCACTGGAATACACTAATTGGTCCTCTGACCTTAAAAGTCACTTTACTTGTTTAATTCTCTGTTATAACATCTTGAAGTCAACAATTTGGCCTAGAAAGCCCTCTAAGGTCTCTGCTACCTCTAATATTCTGATTTGAAATAGAGCCAGTTCTATTTTTTAAATGTTTACATATTTGTAAAATATTATCTAGTGCAGGTAATTGAGCATGTGGCACAAAATTTTTAAAGTAGCAAAGAAAATACAAGGTAAAGTAGTTTTTCCATCCATGCCCCAATCACTCAGTTCTATTCTGTGGAGGTAAACAGTGTTACACTTTTTTGTGTGCATATTCCAGAGACAATGCTATGCATATTAATTGAATACATAAAACATTTTGAAATTATCAACCAAGAATCCACACTACCTCGAATTCTAATCCCACAGCATAGGGCTCATTCAAGTTTTCCTCCTGTCCAAATTGTAACTCCCATTTCCCACATTATCCTCCATGTATTTCCTTATTTGATCAGTTCCTCTGTATATAAACAATCTCTTGGGCCACCATCCCTCTACATTAGGGATGTCCTTGTCTTCCTGCCTGGCTCTGACACCCTGTATTAAGCGGCTTCTCTACTGTCCCTGCCCTCATGTAGCTGCCCTTCCCATCTAGCCTGGGCTGTGACATCCCACACTGATATGGTTGGCAAGTAATATAAAAGACATCCAGTTAAATTTGAATTTCAGATAAACAATAATTTTTTTAGTGTAAGTATGTCTCAAATATCCCATGGTATATACTTACGCTTAAAAAAATATTCATTGCTTAACTGAAGTTCAAATTTAACTGGGCTTCCTATGTTTTTGTTTGCTAAACTTAGTAACCTCACATGCTGGGCCCTTCAGCACAACCATCCCCCAGGGTGCAACCTCCTCACCTACTTGGAGTTAAGTGTCCTGGACTGAGATGTCTTCCTCTCCCACTACTTAATAGCTTTTGGGATGAACTGTTAGGAAAGTAAGGGAAAGTAAAAGGGGCAAGAGGGAAAAAGGGGAGAAAGAGAGAAGAAGAGGCACAATACATTAGACTTTTAAAAACTTACATTTATGAAAATAAATTCTTCACTGTCCTAAACTATATACAGTCTGGTAATTTAAACAAAAAACCACATGAACAAAAATGCCACCTAGAGTCAAGGAATAGACTAAACTATGTTAAGCCTAAATTAACTAATACTAAATTAACTAAGTTAACAAGAAATGCAGTAAGTCTGGAAGTTTATAAGGGTTGTCAAGATCTGTTTTGGGCAAAATTAGGTGGGCAGAATTTACTGTTGGTATTTATTACCTCCCCATTCAAGAAAAATACAATCTTATTCAGAAAAGAACACCTTAGGGCATCTAGACTTCATTTGATTATTGCAGTAAGGGAATTATTATCGCATTGCAAGTAACAAAGAAAGAACTTATACAATTCCTCAAGCACACCTTGCCTACTTTACAGGTGGAATATTACCTTCAAAACAACAGTAACAATGAAACACTGGGTTAAAATATTTCTTTTGGCCTAAAGTAGGCATCCTCGCTTTTTACATACTTATTAATTGTAGATAAAATAATTAATTTCAAAGCAAAAGTATATTTGAAGTGAATGCTTTTCCTGAGTGTTTTTTTTTTTTTTTCCCTAGCCCAAAGTGGACAGTCAGCAAGTGAAGACACTCAAACAAATGATCTGAAGTTGGAAACAGGGTTTGGGAGGACAATCACAGCATATGGAAATATTTAAAAAGCAAAGATGAGCAAGACCCACAGAGAGCAGAGCCGGCAATTCCACATAAAACCACCAAGTCGTGGTCATGCTAAAGGAAAATAGTGGAAGCATAATGGAGGTGTGAACTTACTGGAAAAGGCTTAAAAGGTAAGATACATATGGGCAGATTGCAGACTTCTAGGCATTAAGTTGCATGTGGAACAGTTGGATGTCCATTTTGTACCACTGTGTCTATAAACAGCTTCAGTATCTGGATATTTTAGGCCAGAGTGAGGAATTAGAGCTCAAGGATTTAAAACAGTTTGTGGAGAAAAAGAAATGCTCCAAAGTACAGTATATTCTGTTACTCTCTGCTCTCACACTTCAGAGCTGTGGGCAATTAGGATACTGATGGAAAGGAAGTAGCTGGGAGCTCGTCTGTCCTCCTTAAGGTCTCAAGATAGCTGTAGAGGAGAAAGGAGCGTGAAGCAGGAAATCATGAGGTTTTGAGCCAAACAAACTGGTTCCAAAGTTTTGTTTCCTACGTGCTAGTTGACCCAGGGCAGGAGACAGGTTACTTGGTTCTCCAATCACAGTTTCTTCTTCTGTTGAAATAATACCATTTGGCCACATTGGTGAGAGGATTGAAAGAGATGAAATAGGACGAGAAGTTCTCCAAGCGCAGCCCCAGGAACAGCAGCAGCCTCACTAGGACCTTGTTAGAACTGCACGTTGTTGGTCCCACCCCAGACCTACAGACTCGGCATCACTAATTCTGTGATTAAATGACCTCTCGGTGATGACGGTGATTTGAGACCCACTGAAACAGAAAAAGCCCCTGGCAAGGTGTCATATTCAAAAGTGGTACCTACCTTTGTAAACAGGCTCCTTCCTCATTTGCTGTCCTCCTGTTTCTCCTGCTCTCCCTCTTTTGTTTCATGATTAGAATATGTTTGTGTTGCCTTCTGCTTCTGTTATAGGGAAAGGAGCGCCGAGAGCAGAACTTGGGAGAGGCAGGGCTGCCATCATCAGGTTCATGCTCTGGGGACCCTGATGCTCTGTGAGTCTCCAGGATTCCCATAATGCCACGCCTGCTGGGTTCATACACTCCCCAACCACTTCTCCCTTGAAACCTGAGGGAGAAGAGAAGGAAGCTTTCAGGGAGCATGTTCCCATCTTCCCCATCTGCATTTGTGACGTCTCCTTCACCTCCAATTGACCTCCTCACTGCAGCCAGACCGTCTTCCTAAAAAAAAAAAAACCTGACGCTGTCACTCCTTTACCAAAACCCTCCACAGCCTCTATAAGATTTTGTCCTTACGATGAGGCCAAACTTAACGTAACACATAAGGCCCTTCCCCACCTGGCCCCAAGAGACCTCTTCAGCCTTGTACATCTCTTACTTCCTGTACAGCCCTCCCCTCCCGATCCCTCCACGCCCCTCTCCTCACCTCCAACACGGACAGGCCCGCGTGCACAGACTGGACTTGGCCAGGTGGTAGAGCCAGTTGGTGAGATGAGGCTTCCTGGTGGATATTACTCTTGAGCTGATCATGAAAGAGAAGGTAATCCAGGCGAGAGGAACAGACAAATGACACAGTGCAGAAACTACAGTGTGGCATTAGGGAGATCATTTCTAAAGTGTAAGTTACTAGGAGAGGTGTGGAGACAGGGGAAGCTGGAAAAGCAGGCTCAGGGCAGTTCTTCGATGACATGGTAACATGCTGAATCAACCTGCACCCACATATGCCAATTTCAACTCATTACTAGTTAGATGAGATGGTTTTATTTAGCACTTCGAAAAAAGTAGGCATTACTATCTCCATTAAATAGCTGAAGAAACTGAGACTCAGAGAAGGTAACTGATTAACTCATTGTATGCTCACACTGTGAAAAACTGAGGGTGCTTCTGGGAGTCATGCCATGTTCCCAACCTTCACACTGTTCTGCATCCAGGCTCTGCTTGACCCTTTGAAGACCAGACAGATCCTAATCCTAGTAAAAACCTTTTCACTGAGGTCCTCCATTTAGAAGACTTACTCTTTTGACCTTAAGCGATTTTCTTGTAATTGCAGTCTTAATTGTTTGTTATTATTTATTCCTCAACATTGCTGGCCAGGAGTATCTTGAGATTGCACTAATATTTGTGTTGTGCATCTCCTTGATAAATTCTGATGGAGGGCCTCCTCTGTCTGCACAGCTGGTATCAATATCCATAAAAGGCCATTTATGCAATTTGTCGGCTCTGTAAGTCGTGCACAGACTGGACTTGGCCAGGTGGTAGAGCCAGTTGGTGAGATGAGGCTTCCTGGTGGATATTACTCTTGAGCTGATCATGAAAGAGAAGGTAATCCAGGCGAGAGGAACAGACAAATGACACAGTGCAGAAACTACAGTGTGGCATTAGGGAGATCATTTCTAAAGTGTAAGTTACTAGGAGAGGTGTGGAGACAGGGGAAGCTGGAAAAGCAGGCTCAGGGCAGTTCTTCGATGACATGGTAACATGCTGAATCAACCTGCACCCACATATGCCAATTTCAACTCATTACTAGTTAGATGAGATGGTTTTATTTAGCACTTCGAAAAAAGTAGGCATTACTATCTCCATTAAATAGCTGAAGAAACTGAGACTCAGAGAAGGTAACTGATTAACTCATTGTATGCTCACACTGTGAAAAACTGAGGGTGCTTCTGGGAGTCATGCCATGTTCCCAACCTTCACACTGTTCTGCATCCAGGCTCTGCTTGACCCTTTGAAGACCAGACAGATCCTAATCCTAGTAAAAACCTTTTCACTGAGGTCCTCCATTTAGAAGACTTACTCTTTTGACCTTAAGCGATTTTCTTGTAATTGCAGTCTTAATTGTTTGTTATTATTTATTCCTCAACATTGCTGGCCAGGAGTATCTTGAGATTGCACTAATATTTGTGTTGTGCATCTCCTTGATAAATTCTGATGGAGGGCCTCCTCTGTCTGCACAGCTGGTATCAATATCCATAAAAGGCCATTTATGCAATTTGTCGGCTCTGTAAGTGTCAATTTCCTAGAGCAGGAGTCTTTAGTGACCTCCACTTATGTTTGAAAAATTTTTATAAATGTATTTACTTCTGAATTCTTTTCTGAAAATAGGTGGGAGAAATAACCTTGGAAGTGAGATTTCATCCTTGAAGAGATGGGCTATTGTTCTCCACCTTTCAGGAGCTGGTGACATCCAAGTTACTGTGCATTCAAGGAAGCACAATGAAACGTTAAAATGTAGGAAAAAAACTGAACAATCAGTGTGTCAGACTTCCAACTGGACTTACTTGAAATGACCATAATAGAGGTAATATTAATAAATATAACATTAATAGCAATACAAAGTCTGATAAGTGGTTTTAGTAAAATATCTAGTAAAGGTTTTTTTTCCTTCCCCTCAAAACTTATATGCACCTTAGGATAAAGGAGTTTTTAATTCTTTAAAATTGTTTTAATTCATTCAAAATTTGTAATAAGACATATCTTACATTGGAAGAAAAAGTTAAATTAATTAACTTCAGCCTGCCAAATCTCTCAAACTTTTATGTCCTTTAAAGGCAAAGATTATGACTGTATTTGAGGACTAATGCACAGCTTACTCCACAGTAGTGAATCAAAAAATATTTGTTGAATTGATGAGTGAAAATATTATTAAACCAGATCAATCAGCCTAAAAATACTTTCAGTAAATATTTCATCATTTTGCATTGAACATTATGTAGCTTGGAACATGGCTTCCATTTAAAATCAGCTAATATAATTTCCACTTCAAGGTATTTTACAGATAACGTGGCAAATGTGCAAAATAGTATGATATTCATTGCAGCATAGGGTGTGATAGCCAAGATCAAATTAATCTAAGTGTCCAACAATAGAAATCCAGTTACTTCCATACAAAGAAATACAATGCAGTCAACACAAAGAACTGGCATCTCATTATATGGTTAAGCAAAAAGAGCAGAAGAATGTTTTTATTTTGAAATTCTCAAATATAGAGAAAGATTGCGTGGGTAATATGAAATCTTTTTTTTTTAACGGAAACTTCTGAGAGTAACCTTCAGCTGACATAATACTTCTTCACTTCTACTAAATACTTTTAGCATGTACTTCCTACAAAAAAGGACATTCTTCTGCATATCACCAATACAAACATCAAAATCAGGAAGTGAGTATCAATATGTCCCCACCATCTAATCCTCAAACTCCTTCCAGTTTTGTTAATTGTTCTGATAATGTCCCTTATGGCAAAAGGAACTAGTCTATAATCATGTGACCACTTAGCTATCTCAGAGTTTTAGTCTCCTTACTCATTCTGGAACAATTCCCCTCTATCTTTTCTTAACTTTTATGACCTTGACACTTTTGATGATTGCAGTCCAGTTAGTTGGCAGAAAATCTCTTCCTTGGGCTTGTCTGGTGTTTCCTCATGCTTAGATATTATACATAGTTGGCAATTTTTTCCTCTCATTGCATCCTATCAGGTGGCACATGGCTTCAGTCAATCTAATTGCAGGTGATGTTGACTTTGATCCCTTTGTTAAAGTGATTAATATGTGCTAGGCTTCTCTACTATAAAGTTATTCTTTTCACCTTTGTGATTAATAAACATTAATAAGGACAGAGCTCAGATATGTCTATATTTATTTACATCTATATTTATCACATAGTTTGGAATAGTCTTAATAGAGTACAGGTTTTTCATTCTGACATAACCTCTGTCCAGCAGGTGTAGACACTCCCTTTCCTTTCACATGTGGTAGATAAATGACTCCCTCCCCATTTCATTTTCTTGTTCTCATGTAATTTTCCCTTTTAACTTTTTAAAATCTGCAGTCCTTGAAATAATAAATGCAAGGGCACACAAGGAAACAATGGGTGTGATATGAGAATGTGTAATATACTTTCTACAGCTAACAGAACTTCAAGTTTCTCAAAATACACAATTTCATAATACTGCACACAGTAGTCACTACTGCTCATGGCTTCCAGAAGATGTTGTCTGTTGCTCACTTGATAATCATTCCTGACTCTCTTCTTTCTTACTAAAAGAACTCTGTTTTTTTCAGGTACAGGGGGCAAGAATCCCTGGTTCTCTGGGAGGGTGGGATCCTACCTCAACCCTAGAGCTGATTGGTTTATAAGGGCCAGGTAACCTTACTCCTATTGGCCTCTGATTGGTTTAGGAGGGGCATGTGATTCAGTTCTGGCTAATGGGGTGTAATAGTAGGTCTTTCCTTCTGGGATGATAATGAAAAGCTGGAGAAAGAGGCTTTTTAATCCCTGTCCCCCAAGTATAGGAGCCTTTTACAATGGCAAAGCTTCAAGGGGATAAAAGCCAGCCTTCAAGAACAGAAGCATGAAAAAACAAGATCCAGGGCCCTGATTCATTGCAGAGCTGTTGACTCGATGCCAGCAACTACCTACTTCAGGGGTTCTTGTTAAAAGGGAAAAATAAAATGCCTATTTGTTCCAGTCTCTGTAAGTCAGATTTCTGTTATCTGCAGTCAAACTTCGCCTTTCTATGCAAAACCCTGATTCAAGAACTTTGTTTTGCAGGCCCGATCTCTGCTAAGAAAAGATCACTGCTAGTATTATATCCTTCATTTCAAGACAGAAACTGGAGAACCTAGGAGACTAGGTAAGGATCTTTCTAAAAAGACAGTGAAGCAAGTGAGAGAACAGAGAAGGGTCTATATGTTACTTTGTGTCTAAGAGGGATTCAATCACGTATTCATATTTTCTTGTACTAAACATAAACACCTAAGGAGTACACACACACACGCACACAAAACCCCATAACTAAGAGGGTAGGCAGGGAGGGACAGGGTTGAGAATTAGGAATAAAACCTAAACAGGAAATAGAAGAATAAACTTGTTATGGAAAATTTGAAAATTGCATTACAAAAAAGACTTTTTGATGAAACTGTATTTTGGTTCTCTTTATGGCATTTACTGGTTGAGTGATTATGGGCAAATCACTCAAACTCTCAGTCGAGTTTTCCCACCTGTGGGATGAGAAATCCACAGTTTTCTAATTAGACCTTTTT